AAAAAAAAAAAAAAAAAAAAAGAGATGGCATTGGGAAAACTAGCTCCCGCTACAGAGGACAAGAAAAGAGTTAAATCCCTTTGTAATTCACATTTACAACAGTGAATTCCATTTACATTAAACGGCCCATAATGAATGATAAAACTATACAGCTAGGGCCCGGCCGAGTGGCTCAGTTGGTTAAGAGTTGGCTTAAGAGCACGAGTGTTGAGCAATAGGGCCACCGGTTCGATTCCCACATGGGCCAGTGACGCTGCGCCCGAGCTGAGCTGTCGCTGAGCTGCCAACAGGTGGCCAGATGGCTCAGCTGGTGTAACAACAAAATTGCCTGTTTGATGGTGGGCTACGCCCACCTGCAACTAAGACTGAACTTGGTACCTTGAGCTGAGCTGCCGCCCGGATGGCTCAGTAGATAGAGCGTGTGCTCTTAACAAAGCTGCTGGTTCGACTCCCGCATGGGATGGTGGCTAGGCCCACACGCAACTAAAATTGAACAAAGCATCCTGAGCTTAGAGGCCACGAGCTGCCGATGGGAAGCCAGATAGCAACTGGCACCCTCCACAGCTAAGACTGAAGGAAAGGACAAGAACTTGGCTGTTCCCCTTCCTCAATTCTCCAACACTGTTCCCCCTTCCCCAATTCCCCAATTAAAATCTTTAAAAAAAAATTCTTTTAAGCCCCTGGGGTGGGGGCTGGGTGCTGCTGACCAGGATAGAATCAGATCACAGAGGTTATATTTAAATTTAAATTCAGATTTTTTTTGTTTTCCCCTAGTGGATTGTGTTTAAGGATAACTCAGGTGGTAGTGTAACGGCTGGGTAGAAACAGCAAGAAGCAGAGAGGGCAGCCATTTAACCACTGTGATAGTCTTGTTATGAGATGTTGAGAAGGGTCCTGCCTGAGCAGAAGGGATGCAGAGGGCAGCACCCCCAGATTCTCTGGGGTCATGGCTAGTCAAAGCCAGGCCAGAGGCAGCCTCTCCAGTCAGTACCCAATGTTTCCCTTTAAAAAAAAAAAAATCCTAATATCTAACTACTTGGCAGCTCTCCCAGGGCCATGGGCACAGGGGTGGAACTCCAGAGGTCGGGGAGGGACCCTCACCTGCAGGGCCAGCTGGCAATCCTCAATCAGGCCCTGTACCAGGTAGTAGCGAGCTTCGCCTAGCAGCTCCCCCAGTTCTTGGGGACTCTCAGGCAGTGGCACGGACCCGTCCCGCAGGTAGTTGAGAATTGTACCAAAATGGCGGCCGCCCCTGTCAATCAGGACCCATCCTGGTGGGGAGGGAAGAGGAAAGAGAAAGGATGGCTTTGCTGGGGGCCCTGAAGCTACGAAATTTTTATGAAAATAAGAATTCCAAAGCTACGAGTCTGAAAAGCGATCTTTCTCAAATCTCTGCCTTATCCAAGAAAATCCTCTGAAAACATGTCCAATGAGTGTTCCCATAGGCCCCTTTTTACCGTATCCAGCCACAGAGATTTAACTCCCTCCTAAGGCTATTCTACATTGAAAAGGTTCTCACAGACTACCTTATCAATAAATCTCTGCCTCTTGTGTTAATTCTGACCATCTTATTTAATTAAAATGTCTACCTTCCAGTTCACTGCCATTTTAACCGTTATATTCTTCATAGAGCTTATTACTACCTGGTTTTACATGTCCTTTTTTTTTTTTTTGTATGTTTACTTGATTACTGTTCTCTCTGCCCCCACAAAAAAGTAAACTTCATATCAGATTCATTTAACAAAGTATCTTCAGCACTAACTGGCCTTTTACAAACACTGATTGAATAAATAAAATTCTTCACCTTCAGATACTTAAGACTGAGCTGCGCCTCCCAAACGTTTTATTTACCTACTCTCACAATCCTTTTTAACCCCCTCTGAACCCTCCCAAACTTCAAGTTTTCACTTGGGCTCGTGGGGCCCAAACCTGAATGCAATCCTCTAAGAAGGTAAGGTTCTCCTGCCAGAGAGAACTGTCCACCCTCCCCTCTGGCGTCTCTGACAAACTCAAAGCAGCCTTCTTCTACAATCTGCGTTTATAGATGGATTCCTAGCGTGTGTTGGGGAAAAGAGAGACAGACAAGACACTCCGCCTCTCCAGGCTGGTTGTCAGCAGTGCTTGGGGGGATGGGGGGGAGGCTAGGCGGTTGGAAGAAACTGATGAAAGTTGGCTGGAAGGGGGCTGCGGTCAGCGGGGTTGGTTTGCAAGTTTTTTGAGCTGAGAAGTGGGAGAATTGGGTGGGAGTGGTCATGAAAATTCTGGGGTGACATAGTGAATACTCCGCGGCTGGCAGAACTGGAGGGGCGGCGGGGGTTGTTCCATTAAGCGTTGGTTATTGCTGGGTGGGGGTTCAAGATTGGGGGGGCAGGGGATGTTGAATGAGAAAAGGAAGATTAGATGGGATGTGGGGGTTGGAGGAGGTGAGAATGAGTTGACTGGAGGGCAGTGAGACGAGAGAACACACACACTGGGCGATGAAAACCGGGAGGGTCAGGGCGCCGGCGCTCCGGAGGATGGAGGGCAGCACGAGTGGGGGCAACACGCGTACCTCCGGCATCCGTGATCACCTCGGCCCGGCCGCTGAACATGGCCTTGAGCACGGAGTCCTGACCCGTGAGGGTGCGCAGCGTGGTGTAGTGCAGCGAGCCTCCCACGTTCAGCTTCACGTACTTGCTGTTGGGGTTCAGTGGCTTGAGACCGTAGGCGGCAGGGCCAGGCTCCAGTCCCGACGGCTTGGGGACTTCCAGGGACAGGGCCTCGGTCNCTCAGTGGCCCATGTGGGGATTGAACAGGCAACCTTGGTGTTATGAGCCTGCGCTCTAACCACTTGAGCTAACCAGCCGCCCCGCCTCAGTGTCTTTTAGGACCTGTTCTGTCAATACTATTCAGTGTGGGAGTAAACCACAGATGAACATTAGGGAACAAGAATCCCTGGGGACTGCCTTGGAGGCTGGCTCCCACAGATGCAAATCCCTCCTGTATGGAAAACACACTCAGCCCCTCCCAAGGTCCCCAAAGTCTCATCCCATTGTAGAATCAGGGTGAAGTACAGAACCTTGTCATCTCATCAGGTCCGGGTGGGGATGAGGCTCCATGGGTGTAGGTCCTTAACTATAGCTTCCTAAGTACATTTGCTCTTGATCTGAAGACCTGTCAACTAAAGGGACATGTTATCTCCTCCATACGCCCAATATGCAATGGGGATCAGACATCAGAATAGTCACCAGGACACTTCTATTTGAAAGGGTGGGGGTTGGAAGCGGGGGACACAACACAGGTCACTGCTTCATAGAAATTCTGTAATCCAGCTGGAAAAACGTTCGGAGCTCTGATGCCTACTCTAGGCCCAGAATGATTCTCTATCAGCTCAATAGATCAATGGCTCCGCACTGAGTCATCCTTCCTTTTCCATGAAAAAGTCCTTGCTTGCAGCTCCGTGGTTTTCTCAGCCGGCTTCCTGCCTGTAGAACTTTGGGGTCCAAAGCCCTCTTCTCGTCTCCACTGTCTCTGTCTCTTTCAGTCCAAGCTTCCAGTGTATATGCCAGTAGAATTCCAATAAACTTAGGGGGTATCTTGTGAGTCTTGGGGTTCAGGTCATTAGACAAAAACCACACCCACAAATCCTTGTGAAATAAGTGCTTGTCTGCCTGGGCTCGAGCTGAGTCTGCCGCAGAACGACACCCTTAAGCTTCTTAGATGCACTGGTATTTGACTGAGTGGTTCTCTGAGGCATCTTCTTGAATATTTTTGAGGTCTTAGTCAAGGATTTTACCATCGCATCCTCAGCTTCATCTTTAGGTCATGTTTTACTGAGAATGCCCTGAATATGATCTTTGCCTAGAAGCTGTTAACTTTAACATCATTTATTATCTGGAAAGGCTGGGAATGTTCAAACCCAGTCATTCTTGGCTCCTTTTCATCTGTTTTAGCATACCGTCTCCTAGTTTACTGTCAACGAGAAACCTGGTGTTGCCTTCAGTGTTCTGTCTGGAAACCTCTGTAGCTGTCACCTAGTTCTTTAGGTAAGTTTTCGACTTTCTACGTTACCGTAGGAGACAGCATTGCTAAACTTTCCCCTACGTAACAAGGATCCCTTTACACCATTTCCAGTAGCATTTTCCTCACTGCTGCCTTCTTCGAGGTCATGAGATGCCTATAAACAGGCTCTTTAAAGTTCTTTAGGTTTCTATTAACACTCTCCTCAAGTCCTTCCGGCTTCTGCCCCCTTCCTAGTTAGTTCTGAAGCCACTCCCCCATTTTAAGTTGTATGGTACAACCCCACTCCAGATACCAAAATCTGTTATCTACTGCTGGGTAACAAATTACTACCAACGTAGCAGCTTAAAACAATAAGCATTTATTATCTCATGCTGTTTATGGGGTCAGGATCCTGAGATTCGCTTAGCTAGGTGGTCCTGGTCTGGGGTCTCTCATGACGCTGAAGTCCAGATGTTGGCCAGGGCTGAAGTTATTGGGAGACCTGACTGGGCGTCAAGGATCTGCTACTGAGATAGGTCACTCGTGTGGCTGGGAGTTTGTGCTGGCCATTGGTAGGAAGCTTTCATTCCTTACCAAGTGGACCTCCCCCTAGGGCTACTTGAGTGTCCTCACATGGCAGTTGGCTTCCCCCAGCCCCCCAAGTGAGTGATCTAGTCGAGTGGCAGAGAAACCGCAATGTCTTTTCTTTTTTTTTAAAGACTTTTTATTGGGGAATTGGGGAAGGGGAACAGACAAGTTGCTGTCCTTTTCTTCTTCAGCCTAGTTGTGGGGGACGTCGCTTCACTGGTCCATGTTGATATTATAATTGCGCTCTTCCCGGGTGAGGCAGTCGCTCACTGGCCATTGGACGGCAGTTCACAGTGGCTCACGGCAACTCAGAAAAGTTCATGCCGGCTGCCGGCCAGCCCCACTGCAGCCTATGCTGTCGCTGTTGATTTACTGCAGCCCAGCTCCAGGTTGAGCTGTTGTTCACCATCTTAGCTGTAGAGGGCGCAGCATCACTGGCCCTCATGTGGGATCCAAACGGGGGCCCTGCTGCTCAGAGCTGGCATCCCAAGCCAACTTCTGTGCTTTATTTTATTATTTTTTTTAGCTGAGCTATCCTGCCACCTGTTGGCAGCTCAGCAGCAGCTCAGCTTGGGCCTATGTGGGAATTGAACCGGTGACCCTGTTGCTCAGAGCTTGCACTCTTGAGCAAGCTCTTAACCAACTGAGCCACTT